GCACTTGGTTGCGATCAAAAGGATAATGCGATATCTCGCGGGCACGTTGAATGTAGGTCTTTGGTATCCCAAAGGTTCAACATGTCATCTTGTTGGCTATTCCGACTCGGATTTTGCAGGTTGCAAACTCGATAGGAAAAGTACCAGCGGTACTTGCCACTTATTCGGTCATTCGCTAATCTCGTGGTTTAGTAAGAAGCAGGTTAGTGTTGCACTTTCCACCACCGAAGCGGAATATGTCGCTGCGGGAAGTTGTTGTGCCCAAATTCTTTGGCTAAAACAACTAGTGGATTTCGGCCTTATACTTGATCACATCCCTATTAGGTGTGACAATATGAGCGCTATTAGTCTAACGAAGAACCCCGTTCTTCACTCGAGGACTAAGCACATAGAAATTAGGCATCACTTCATACGAGATCACATCCAAAAGGGAGATGTCACAATTGAGTTTGTTGAAACGAAACATCAATTGGCAGACATTTTCACGAAACCCCTTAGTAGGGAGAGTTTCTTCCACATTCGGAACGAACTTGGAATTTTGGATATCTATATGAACTAATCCATTCTTTTTATTGACTATACTAATTTGAGCGTCGGAGGCGCGATAAATTCTTTTTTGCAGGGCTTTTTAGGTGTCTCTTCCCTTGGTATTCAACCAAATTGGACTTGATGTTTTTTTTCTGTCAATTAAGTTTTAATCGATAACTCCTCGAAGAGAAATTGATTAGTCGCCTCTGTCCCTCTTAATCGATTACTTGACTTTTGTTAATCGATTAAAATCTGAAACTTTTTGCTCTGCGTCACTTTAAATCGATTAATTTGGTTACATTAATCGATTAGACTCATCTGTCCATCTTAATCGATTAACCACGTTTGCTTAATCGATTAATAGCTTGAAATGCAAACGTTTGGTTCAGCTCCGCGTTTAATCGATTAAAATGCTTCATTTAATCGATTTTGCCTAGGCTCTGTTCCGTAATCGATTAAATACTTTCTTTTAATCGATTAATATTCGATTTATGCCCTTATATCCAGCCCAGGCTTCGTCTTCTTCGCCATTCTCTTGTTAAGAAATCAGAAACCCTAACACCTTCCCTTCTCCAATCTTTCTCAAATTTCTTCCATCTTCTCACCAAATCCCATCAATTTCAAAGAGGAAGGATGCCAAGGTGCAAGAACGCTTCATCGCGTCAAGAATCGGCGGCAGAGGAGAGTGAGAGGCCATGGCGTCGTGAAGGGAGCAAGTATATTCACATTCAAACCGGACTCGCCTTCAACACTGGGCTTCAGTCGAGAGGTTCCACACCATCTTCCTCACGAAGGAGATCGTCTCTCCTAAGATCGTGAATAAGGACCTCTTCAAATCGGCGACCTATGCCCCGAGTAAGTCTCTTCTCCTTCAGCAAGGTTTGCTTCGTTTCATCCATTTGATGTATGACTTCTTTTGTCCAAATCTTATGCGTCAATTTTATGCAAATCTTCGTACCACTAAGGGAGACTCGCCATCTCTCATTTCCTATGTTGACGGCAAAACCGTTTTCATTGACGGTGCCGGTTTGACTTCTTTGTTTGGCCTTCGTCGCGGTGAAATTACCGAAAACTTGGATGAAACATTCCAAGATGAGGCAATTTGGCGACAACTCGGGTTAGATCATCGTGACCTGAAGTTTAGAAATTCTAGCAACCCGAGTGTCATTAATCTCACTTTAATTCAACACGTCCAACAGTACATCTTCTCATATGTTTTGTTGCCCCGTGATTCGAACCGTGGCGTTGTCAACAAGGACGATATTCGTTTGTTTCACGTCCTGTTGAACGATGTCAAATTTGATTGGGTTCACTTCTTTATCGTTGCACTTAGCGATGGCACTCGTTTTTCCCATCTCCATTTTGCCATCCCCATTATGCATATCCTTGCTCATTGCAAAATAGACTTTACTCGGGACACTCAGGTGCCGGTCAAGAAGACGTGTTTCATCACTGAAGCCAAGTTTTCCCAGATCGTGTATCGAGAGGAGGGCGATGCTGCACCAAATCTGGACCTAATAGCCGCAGAAGAAGAAGAAGAAGAGAGCCAAAACGAGACTCAAGCTGAATCATCTCGAGCCGGAGGAAGTCAAGCCACGGAGCGCGTCACTCGTCAACGGAGGACTCGTCCAAGAGAAGAAGCACCAGAACCATCTTGGGTGAAGAAGATCTTCGATACTCTCACGTGCATCCAAGATGACGTTCGCCAGCTCAACGAGAGGATGACTCGTTTTGAGCAATCCCGCTCCTACCGTGGCCCATGTCACAGCTTTAGCGGAGGAGCTCGTCCGGCGAACTCTCTTTGATTGTTATTTTCTTTCCCTCTTGACTGATTATGATACATTGTTATTTGTTATGACTCTTTTGGTGGATGATGATGTTTCCTTTCGATGATGCTAGTTGATATTAACTGCTTGTGTATTAATATCATTGTTGGCTTGGCAATATTGTTCTTATTTAGAACATATTGTCCCTTTGTGGCATTTCTTCCTTCAATATCCCGACATCGTTTAAGGGGGATGGTTATCGGTTGATAATGCCAAAAGGGGGAAGGAAGGATAGTTGAAAATTTTTTAAAATCGTTTTTCCGCTTATATTCATCCTTTGCTTCATCTTCCTCATCAAAATATTATTTTTTGAGAGTTAGAAATATTTTCTTTGAGTGCTTAAAGAAGTTGTCATCCATAGAGCTTTAATTCTTCAACACTACTTTGCTCAATTGCGTGAGCTTTCAATTTTGTGTTGTAAACTCAATCTCATTTGAGTGTTGTTCTTAAGACTTGTGTGACTCAAGTCTTGTTGTTGTAAGAAAGTGAGGCTTGTGTGATTCAAGTTCTCAAGTTGTACTGGTTTTTCAAGCACCTGTGAAACTTAAAGATTAGTAGGACTTTCGAGAGAGTCTCTCGGAGGACTGGATTAGCCACGAGGTGGTGAACCAGTATAAATCTCGGTGTTCTTCTTTCCCTTACTCTCTTTACTTATTCCTGTGATTCTGTTATTTCACACACGCGAAAAACGCACATTCTTGAAAACAACTCTATTCACCCCCCTCTAGAGTTGCACATTTGTCTAACATTTTTGTTTAGTAGTCTTTCGAGCAGCAGTCTGATATATCTTTCACCTACTTTAGAAATTAGATATCTATATTTTTGACCGAAAACACAAAACAATAGGAGTCTGGAGTCGAAAACAACAGTAGTATATATTATAGATAGACAACAAAAAATCACAATTGTCTTTAACCCTAGAAAATAGATGTCTTACTCATACGAGGACAACTTCAAAAACATGTACTCTCAAAGATCACAAAATAGGTGTCGTCAACCGTACTACACAATTGTTTTTAAACAGTAGTCTGTAAATATATCAGACAGCTGCTCGGAAGACTACTAAAACCAACACAGTTAGACAACTAAAATAAACAGTTGTCAGCATCTGTTTTTGACGTAGTGTTATTACATTACTCCACCTCTAAACAAATTACATTTTAACACTAAATGTATTGTTTAGGAACTCCTTTCTCCATGTAGGAGGGATACCCCAACAAATCTCCCCCACACTCCTACATGGGGGGTAAAACTCAAATATGATAAATATCAAACAAACCTTTCACAACCAACTGCGCCAAGTCCATATGTTGTGAGCAACGCTCTCTTCTCTTCAACTTGAACACCCCATTGCTCTTGGGTGCTCGCTTGCTTCCATGCAACTTTTCCAAGGAATGACCACGTCCATCAAGAAAGGATATAACTCCATCTTGCTTGGCTTGAACCCACTCTCGTCAATGCACCTTCTTCACTTCTTCGCGGTAGCAATCTCTCTCAAATATAGCAATTTGAGGAACCCTCGGTGGCAGAACTCCATTCTCGGAATGAGGTGGCTCAAGTACATCGCCGTCATGAGCAACATCATCACCACAACATTGTTCTCCATCTTCTCCCCCATGATCTGAATGTATGGAAAGAAAAGGAATACCACCTTCAGGGAGGGTATTCTGACAACTCTCAATCATGTGACCAAGCCTCTTGTGTGATAAATCCGTAGGGGGAGCAGTGCTCTGATCTCCTCTGCACATCTTTGCTTGCATCACGTAAATCATGTTCTATCTTTAACCTCAGGCCACGATCAAAGAACCTTTGGTGAGCTTTCACTTTCCTTCACTAAGGCGGCTAACATAACCATCTCCGTCAAGTCTTTTAGCAGAAATAAGGTTGAACTGAAACTCAGGAACATGTCTGACATCTCTGAGGGTCAACCCGCAACCAGTGTTAGTCTTCAAACAAACAGTGCCCATCCCAATAATCCTAGATGATTTGTCACCCTTCCCCATCTTGACATAGCCAAAGTCACCGCTAGTGTAAGATGAGAAGAACTTCCGATGAGGTGTGAGATGACAAGAGGCACCCGAATCAATGATCCAAGTGCAATCCTGAAAAGCAACATCAAAGTTAGTGTCATCACACACGAAGAATAAATCATCTGCATCTGCAAGGGCTGCTGTGTCTTTCTCCTCTTTCTTCCTAGAAGCCTGACCCTTTTCCTCTTTTTGCTGGGCTTTATCTCGTTTCATCTTTCTGCACTGAGATATCTTTTGACTCGGTTTATCACAATAGAAGCATTTCATTTCGCTTCTTGATTTAGATCTCCCCATGGATTCAAAGTCTCTGTGTCTGTGTCTTCCACGACTCTGCATCTCCGCAACCTGAGCCTGGTCTGAATAGCTGGAGGAACTCGGATCTCTTCTCCTAGCTTCTTCGTTCAGCAGACTCGACTTCACAACATCCATTGTGAGCTTACCATCTGGAGCAGAATTGCTAAGTTATACAACCAAGGTCTCCCAGCTTTCGGGCTATGAGCTAAGGAGCAACGACGTCTGCAATTCATCATCTAAAACCAATTTCATTGAAGACAATTAGTTAATCAATCCCTGAAAATCATTCAAATGCTCTACAACACTATGCCCATCCCTATAATCAAGTTTCACAAGTCTTCTCATAATAGAGGCTTTATTCAAGGCATTTTCTCTCTCATACATGCATTTGAGTTTCTCCCACAGTTCATAGGTGTTGGTATCATTGGCAACATGCTAAAACACACTATCATCAATAAATTGCCTAATCATTCCCATAGTTTTCTGATTAAGCAATTTCCAAGTATTTTCTTGTTTACCACATGGCATCTCCTTATTCAAGATCGGTTCATGCAAATACTTAATATATAAAATATCTTCCATCCTGGGTTTCAAATTTTGATAATGGGAGAATTTCAATTTAATCATTCCCCCAAAAACAACTTTATCCTCCATTATAACAATACAAGAAAATCACCCAAAATATGAACCATGCTCTGATACCAATTGTTGGGAAAATCACCTCAATTTTCTAGCAGAAGCAATTAATAATTTACCCTTCTTTGTGTTGTCAAAATGGGCAAAATCATATGACCAATCAAGAATAGCAAACACAACAACAAGCAATCACTCAAGCGATAAACGAACACAAAGATTTAACGTGGAAACCCCAAGTCGGGGAAAAAACCACGAAGCCTTCCACTAATCACCAAGAAAAATCAGTGGGTACACCATGAATCCTCTCTAAATCAATTAGAGGTATACACAATCATCAAGTAATAACTTGGAACACCAAACAACAATAATCTTCACTCAAAAGTGAGAAATCCCCAATAAAAACGCAGCAGTAAACAGAGGCGATTTTACCAACATCGAGAGGTCAAAACAACAATCCCACCGTTGGATATGAAGAAGAGGATGTGAGGAACAACATACTAAAATTGCATCCCGATCGGACCTCGTTTGGTCATCGATCGGAGCACAAAACCAGACTGCACCTATCTTTTTCTCTCTTCTTCCTTCCCTCGGCTCTCTCTATTTTTTGTCTCTGTTTCTTGCGCTGTGCGGCTGCTCTATTCTGTCCGTGAGAAGCCAAAACAAAAAAGGCTTTGCCTTTTCCATAAAGTGGCAGCCCCCACTTTGACCATTCCCATTCTTTTTTTTCTTTTATAATAATAACAATAATAAATATTATTATTATTATTATTATTATATTACTCCATCTCTAAACAAATTACATTTTAACACTAAATGTATTGTTTAAGAACTGCTTCCTCCATGTAGGAGGGATACCCCAACAGGGGGAATTACAGACTTTTTTTTAAGGAAATTTTTGAAATTCCTCCAAAGTACTTCTAAAATTAGTTGAATAAATACATCTACAGCTCCATCTTCCTTGCATTAAACATTCTCCCTCTTCCTCCATTATGAGTTAGCATTAAGTTTATTTTCTTTCTTTGGCATTTATGGTTGCATCCTCCTTTCCACACACACACACAAACTGATTTTGAAGCTGATTCTGATGCTGTCTTGCCCCCACTGGTTTAGGTACCCTTTGCAGCAGCTTTTAACATTCCCGAAACACAAAATATAAACTACATTTCTGGTGTACAAGCAAGAAATGAAAGAAGGAAGAAAGTTATTGATGCAATACTACAAAAATACAAAGACGGCAAACTTCAGCATGGATGTATTAAGTCAGTAGCTAATGACTTCAATATTTCAGATCGTTCGGTTAGAGACCTATGGAGAATTGCTAAAGCTCAATTGGATACAGGCCTTGCTGTTGATGTTGAATGTAGGTGGCAAGGAAAATCAGGAAAAAAACCTCTGACTAAGGACTTTTCCAAGCTTAGTCACATCCCTTTTCACCAACGCCAGACCCTATGTGCCGTAAGTCATTGCTTGAATGTGTCTACTACAACAACACACACGTGGCTAAAGGAGAAAAAGATAAAAAGAAATTCTAATGCCATAAAGCAATTTCTGTGTGAAAAAGGTAAGTTGAAAAGACTCAAGTATTGTTTGGCTTTTATATCTCCCACATCACTAACAAACCCCACATTTCATCATTGTTATGATTACATACACATTGATGAAAAGTGGTTTAATTTGAGCAAGCCCAAAGAAACATTCTACACACTGCTTGGTGAAGATGACCCATACAGAACCACTCAGTCTAAAATCTACATTCCCAAAATAATGTTTCTAGCAGTTGTGGGTAGGCTAAGGTTTCGGGTAGATGGTGAAGTTATATGGGATGGAAAATTTGGGATTTTTCCATTCACTTTTGAAGAGGGTGCAAAAAGGGCTAGCAAAAACAGACTAACTAGTACCATGGAAATCAAAGTAGTACCAAAAATAACAAGGGGTACGGTGTAATGAGATCCATGATGATTCAGCAGTTGCTGCCAGCAATAAGGGCCAAGTGGCCACGGACAAGCAAGCAAGTTATCATACAACAGGATAATGTTAAACCACATATAGATATTAATGATCCTGAATTTGTGAGTGCTTTAAAGGAAAGTGATTGGGACATTCAACTATAGTTTCAGCCCCCAAACAGTCCAGACTTGAATGTCCTTAATTTTAGTTTCTTTAGGTCAATAGATGTTTTGACAGACAAGATTGCACCAAGGTCAATGAGGGAGTTGATCACCAATGTGACCATGTGTTATAACCAACTCACAGCCTAGACCTTAAATAATGTTTTCCTAACCTATCAAGAGGTAATGGGCGAGGTCCTTAAGTAAAAAGGGGGAAATGACTATAAAATACCACATATGACTAGGGAAGGATTGCTACCTGAGAACATAGATGTGGATGCTCAAGTGTATGAAGAAGTTGTCCAGTTCTCAGAAATCAACATTTAAGGGGAGAAGGACAGTACTTTTGTGTAATTCTTTTTTTGGTTTGTACTTGTACACACAACAGCACACTTTTTTTTCTTTTTGGTAGTGTTTAGTCATAGTGTGCAGGATTGTGTAATGATGTAGTACTATATCATCAATGCAAAATATTAAGCAGTAAGTCAGAATGTCAACAATGTAGTAACAGGATTAGATTGCCTCATAAACAGGGACTGAATGAATATCAATCATAGGCAGATAAAATGCCTCATAAATCAACTTTGAAATTCCATCATAGGCATATAAAAGCTCAGTCATGCTTAGGAACTAATTACATGGTTCTTTTGTCACAGAAATTTAGTTTGAACTTCCATCATAGGCATATAAAGGACCAGTCATGTCTAGGGACTAATAAGTTGGTTGGGTTGCCTAAGATATTTAGATTGCACTTCCATCGTATGCATATAAAGGACCAGTCATGTTTAGGGACTAATAACATGGTTGGGTTGCCTCTAAAATTTAGCTTCAACTTCCATCATAGGCATATAAAGGGTCAGACATGCATAGAGACTAATCAGTTGGTTGGGTTGCCTCAGAAACTCCATTTGAACTTCCATCATAGGCATATTAAGGGCCAGTCATGCTTAGGGATTAATAACATGGTTGTTTTCCGTTATAGAAGAGGCCAAGCATTTATAGGGACTTGTAAGAGGGCAATCACACATATGGACTTCTCACAGATTCACATTCAAGTTAGAGAAGTATGCTTTCAATGTGCAACAGAAACACAGAATAGGTAGAAAAAATTTATATCCCACTTAGGGAGGCAACAATCTGATTCAGAGACAAAGACATACTCCTAATTGAGCATAGTAAGCCTCCAAACCTATAGGGGTGGCATTACAGTGAAGCAATTTTCCCATAATTAAAAAAGACTAAGGTTTGCATCATTAGTTTGCCCAAAAAATATGCAATGAAGTAAAGAAGCAAGGAATTTTAGTTTAACAAGACATCCCTGCATTACTCTTCATTATTTGAACCCTTCGTTATTTTTCCCCAAAATCAAAACAAGAAGGGTTTTGCAGAAACGGAGGCAATACAAAATTCATAAACAACAAAGGATTAAAGCACTTTACTCTATTCAAATCGCATGATCTTCATTGGACTTCCAATGGGTTTGGAAAATAAAATCTCCGTATTGAAGGTCATTCCTCCAATCTCTTCTATGGTCAATGAATCAACCTCTGAATCCTCTGATTTGCCTTCTTCCAAATCTAAATTCCACTCAACTCTGTCTGGAAGATGGTCACCCCAAAGGTATTTCTTCTGGTAGTTCCAAGACAGATCGGTGTCAGAAGAATCAGATGCACCAGGGTTGTAGCCTGGAAAACATACCTTCCTCCTGCACTTAGGAGGTCGCACCTCTTCATCGTTTTTGCTTAGAAGGCGAAAGGAAGGCATGTCCCAGTCTAGATCTGGAAAAGGAGGGGATGAGGCCATGGAAATTTTGATTGGCAGAGATGGCGTAGGTGAGGATAGGGTTGAGAGAATAGAGAGAAATGACGCGTGTCATGAATGGCGTGGGTATGGGTAGGGGTATATACGAATCGAATCGAAGCAAATATATCAATATTCGATTCGTATTCGATTAAAGTGATATGTATTTGAATTTGGATTCATATATAATTCGAATTTTAAAAAACATTCGTATTCGATTCGATAAATATTTGACGTATTTGAATTCGTATTCGAATATTCGAGTTCGAAAATATTAGTAATTTTTTCTTAAAACATATTTCTTAAAGAAATTAAATCATTATTTTATAATAATGTAAAATGTAGTAAAAATATGTTAGAATATATAAAAATTTATTTATAAATTATAATATTCGAATATATATAAATTTATATGTACACAAAAATTTAATATGTTAAAATATGTTAAAATATGTACACAAATATTTAATATATTAGAATATATATAAAGTTATTTATAAATTATAATATTCGAATAATTCGAATAATAAACGAATCGAATCTATTAACATTTGTATTCGAATTCGAAAATAAATCGAATCTAAAATACGATTTGTATTCGGATTCGAATTCGAATATAGCGAATACGAATCATCCTTTTTGAATACGAATCACGAATCGAATACATTTTATTTGATTTGTATGCACCCCTAGGCATGGGTGGGATGGGTAGTCTTTTAGGGTTGGGGGTATTTTTGGGAAAAAGAAGTGGAAAGGAAGTGTTTTGTGGAAAATAAAAAAATGAAACGGGAATGGTTTTGTGGAATGGAGGGAGTAGAAAAGATGGGAAAAAGAATGGAGAGAAAGAAATGGGAATAGGTTGAAAAAAGAAAAGAAAATAATTTAAAGGAGTGTAAGGAGAAGAGAATGAAGGAATTAGGTCAACGTGAAAAAATAAAATTTTAGATTTTGTAATTTTTCCAAAAGTGACTTCGGCTCCGTTCCATTAAAACTTATTTTTCTGATTTGATCTGATTTTTTGTAGTTCTGATCTAGTCTGATCTGATCTGACTGGATCCGAACGGATTTAATTGGATCTAATCTAATATGACCCAATCTGATTGGATCTGATCTCGTGTGATCTTATTGGATCTGATCTGATCTGGTCTGATCTAACTAGTGTTTTTTGATCTGATATGATTAATTATTATATGATTTAAAATTCAGACCAATAATTTGATTTGACTTTATAATAACGTTTGAAAATTGTAATTATAAATTTATATTATAATATAATCAGTATTTTTTATTTTATAATTATTTTTAATGATATGAAATTAGTTAATTAATATATTAGATCCAATCAGATCAGATCAGACCAGATCCAATCAGATCCAATCAGATCAGACCAGACCAGATCAGATCCCATAAAGAATTATTATTATTATATTATTATTATTATTATCATCATTATTCTTAAAAATTAAAAAAAGTAAACTTTAGAAACAAGTTAAATAAAAAACTGAGAAATTAATCCTTAATTATTAGACTTCAAAAAAATTATTTTTGAAATACATTGACAATGTCAATCTAATTCTACTTTTAAAATAAATTTTTATTGCTTCCTGTAATTTGAGTTTATAAAGTTTTGGTCTTTTATAAGGATGAGATATTTTAATAAAAATACTATCTCTTCTCTATATTGATTATATATAAATTAAATGTTTGTTCTAATGTATATATGAACTAATTATTAAAATATTAAATTAATATTCTTATTTCATAAACAATAATCATCAAATAAAAAATATTATTACATTAAAATATGAATGATTATTCTAATATATAAATTAACTAATTTTATTTTATTAAAAAATAATTATAAAATAAAAAATATTTTTTATATTATACTATTAATTATCATTACAATTTTCAAACGTTATTAAATCACACGTTACAATTTTAAATCAAATCATAATTAATCAGATCAAATCCAATCAGATTAGATTAGATCTAATCAAATTAGACCAGATCATATCAAATTTAATAAGATCAGATCCAATCAGATCTGATCAGACCAGATCAGATCAGAACTACAAAAAATCAGATCATATCAGAAAAAATAAGTTGAACGGAACAGAGCCTATACTAGAATGAATGCATTTGAGATTTTTGGTAATCTAAAGGGACGTGGGGTGGGCATTGAGCGAGGTTGAAGATGATAAAGAGTAAGGGTCCGTTTGGTATACAGAATTAACGTAATTGGAATTAAATTGAATTGAGATTTCATGGGATTCATTTCCATAGAATTGAAATCTATCAATTCTAATTCATTTTTTAAACTATCAATTCCAAATCTAGATAATTTTTATGCTACCAAACAACCGAATTGGAATTGAAGTCTTTAATTCCAATTAATTAGTTTGAATTTCATGTACCAAACAGAGCCTAATGGTTTTTTTTTGGAAAATTGGCAGGGGCTTGGTGGGAAATATTTAGGAGGGGAAACTTGGAAAGTCAAAGTAATTTTTTCTTTACATTAAAAATCGTGTCAAGTCAAAACGAGATAGATTGAGTAATGAGATAGACTACTTTTACTTAGGGCTGTCAACGGATAGCCGAAAATCTATTTACCGTCCGCATCCGTATCCGTTTTAAGAGGGAATATCTGTATCCGTTTTAAATGGATATTATCCGTATCCGATTAAAGGTATCCGATTACTAAACGGATACGGATATGGTAATTGTATATCCGATCCGTTTAAAATCCGATCCGAATATACATCCGTTTAAATAACCATTTTCCAGTATCCGTTTATCCATTTATCCGAATACCAAATAATTTTTTGAATAAATATAACCCTAGTAGAGTATCAAGTATTTACATAGTTTACCATTACTAATTTATTTATTAATTCCCAATATGTTACCCTACCATGTAAAGAAAGAAAAAGCCCACAAAGAAATTTTTTAAGAAAAAAAGGATTCAAAACATGTTAACCTTACCTCTTCCGTAATTCTTTTTCCCAATTCGGCGATTCCCCTCCGCTTCAGCCCCTCTTCCGTTCGACTGACATTCCAAATCTAAATTCTCCCCAATCCCAAAATCGTTCGAAGTCAAGCTCAAACATCAATCGACGATGCTCTCTGCTGAACCAGTACTGTGAATCGATCGAAGTATCAAGTATCAACACAAGTCACAGTGAATCCATCAGTGAATTGGGCGAAAATCAATCTCTACAATCTCCGTGAAGTGGGTGAAAATACCCTACCACTGTCGTCAATCTCCAGGTGTTTCTTTCATTTTCAAAACCCTCAATCCCTTCTTTGGTTGTCTGCTCTTCTTTTTTTTTTGAGAACTTTTTTTTACCTTTTTTTTTCTATTTTAATTACAAAACAAGCATGTAATTTCTGGAATTGAATGCTCCAATATTCTGCTCTGTTCATTTTTTCACTGATTTTAGATTTTACAATAATTTTTTTAAAATTGTTTGAATTTAAAATAGTATCACTTCTTTAATTTTTGACCAATTTTATGGAAAATTATTGATTCTGGACCCGTGCATTGACCAATAATTGAATCTTGTTTGAAGAATGTTTTTAATAATTTTTTATCACAAAAGTCAAAAACTCTATCTTTTCCAATTCTTCTGCTTTTAACAAATCTGCAAATTGTTCTGCATTTATTTTTTAACTTGTTTTATATTTTTTATGAGTTACTGGTCATTGATAAGAGAATGAAACTAATTAACTAGATGTAATGGACTGTTTTACTGTTTATTGACCTAATGAACTAATTTTTTTTGTAGAAAATGGCGGAACAGACACAACAAACCGTTGATACTAGTTTTATACTATCTGAATCAATTCTAGTTTTATACCATCTGAATCAGTTCTTTCACAACAAGGTACGGACGTACAAGTGAAGAAAAGGAAGTTGACTTCACAGGTATGGGATTTCTTTACTAGGGAGTATGTTGGAGGTGTCGGTAAAGATGCTAAATATCGTGCAACTTGCAAAGATTGTAATAGAAAATTTGATGGATCAAGTAAGGGTGGCACTACGCATTTGAAAAATCATCATGATACTTGCCCTCTTAGAGCTAACAATGTTGATATCAGGCAAGCATTTATTGGAAAATCTATTGATAATGCCAATCCTTCCAATAAGATCAAAACACAAAAGTTTGACCCTTCAGTTGAAAGAGCTTTATTTGCAAAGATGATAGCCAAACATGATTTGCCTTTCCTTATGTCTCAATATGAATACTTTAGAAATTGGATTTCATATTGCATGCCATCCTACAAATTTCGATCAAGAAATACGGTGAAAAATGATGTGATGCAAGTCTACACAGAACAAAAGGAAATAATCTATAATGTTATTGGAGACTTAGATTCACGAGTGACTCTTACAACTGATGGGTGGACATCAGATCATCAAAACCGTGGATATTTTTGTGTGACTTGTCATTACATTGATTCTGATTGGAAATTGCAGAGTAAATTGCTTGCTTTTCATGTTGTTGAATATCCACATAGTGGCTTGCGTTTGTGTAAATGGTTAAAAAAATCGTGTTCTTGAATGGAATATTGATCAAAAGTTGTTTTCTGTTGTTGTGGATAATGCCTCACAAAATTCTGGCATGTTGGATGGCATTAAGGATTGGTTGAATGGGAAGGGTGCATTAGTTCGTCATGAGGAGTTGTTTCATATTCGATGTTCAGCGCATATTATGAATTTGATTGTGAAAAATGGGTTGGATGTGATTAAGGAATTAATGGGAAAACTACGTGATAGCGTAAAATATGTGAATGGATCCGTTCAAAGAGAGGAAAAATTTGGTCTTGCATTGGTTCAGACTCGACTAAAATCCAAGAGACGTGTAAGTTTAGAGTGTGACACAAGATGGAACTCAACATATGATATGCTTATGAGTGCACTTGATCTCAAAGAAGCATTTAACCGTTTGGCTGAGTTAGATTCAGGTTACTCTTGCTTACCCTCAACAGAAGAGTGGGAAATGGGTGCGAAGATATGTAGACATTTGAAGATTTTTAAAAATGCAACAGATGCACTATCTGAGAGTAAGTATCCTACTGCCCCTCTTTATTTCACTTTTGTTTGTCAAATAAGAGAGTGTTTGAATACATGGAGTAATAGTAGTGATGCAGAAATTTCAACATTGGCGTTATTAATGCAATCAAAATTTGATAAATATTGGGATGAGTGTAGTTTGGTCTTGACTGTTGCTTCTATTCTTGACCCGAGATATAAGATGACACTTGTTAAAGCTGCTTTTGGTGAATCTAGCAATTTTGTAACCAAAGTGAATCTTTTTTGGAAAGAATTATTTGTTGAGTATGATGATAAAACATCTTCTCACGAGTCTAATACTTCAAGTGACTCTTCTCATCGTGTTGAAAGCTTGCCAATGGATGAAAATGAATTTCCTCTTTTAACGAGATTTAGGGAACTTGTTGCTCAATCAAGTGCCAATTCCAATCCTAAAAAAACTGAGATTGAGTTGTATTTAGAGGAGGGATTAGTAATTGAGCAAGATAATGCATTTGATGTTTTAAATTGGTGGAAGCATAATGGTGTACGGTACCCAATTCTTTCAAAGATAGCTCGAGATGTTTTGGCAATTCCATGTACCACTGTGCCTTCAGAGTCCACTTTTAGTCGAGCTCGTAGGGTTTTAGAGGATACTCGTGCTTCACTTAATTCAGATACAGTTGAAGCCTTACTTTGTGTGAAAGATTGGTTGCCAACACTTGAAGGAGAAGGTAAGAAATTTTAATTTTATCACTTCTTTGTCTAACAACTATTCGTTAAAAAATATTTAATATGTTGATTTTTTTTCTCTCATAGGTGACACATTCATGGAATGATATGCATTATTGTTGTCTTCCCCTTCCTTGAGGTGAAGTTTTCAGTTTTGATTTCTTGAAGTCTTGAACTTTCAATTTTGTTGTATTTTTAAACCTCAGTTTGTTGTTTTAGAAAACACAATATCATTCATACTTTGACTTTTTTTAACAGGTATGGTATATTGTGGGTTTTGAAGTACCAAGCAAGTGAAATAGCTTGCAATTTTGGATGCATCAAAGATTATCTTCTTGAGAGAATTTTGAAATGTATTAAATACGATTTGTACTTTATCGATTAGAAATTTATATTTTTGTTCGTATTATTAGATATTTGGTAAAATATTGACTATTGTTTTTTTGTATTCTAAAGTTTTTTTGGTATTAATGTATTATGGACTTCAATTATAGTTTTGGACTGTGTTTAATTTATTTATAAATAGATTCGGATATCTAATTGGATTTTTTAATGGACACGGATATTTTCGGATTCGGTTACTTTCGGATATCTAATCGGATTCGGAACACTACTCCCAAAACCATCCTAGCATTGTATATAGTAGGATAATTCCACTTCGATATTTCTCTTCCCTTTTCACTTCCAATTTTATATACTCCCTGCGTCCCACTATATTCGTCCACTTTTGATTTTTGGAACTGTTCATCTAAGCACTTTGACTCATCAAAATTTCTCAATCTGTAAGCCTAAATACAGTCATGTGTGATCTTGTTTGATTTGTCTTAATATATAGATTATTAATATATAATTTCTATAATTTTTTAATATACAAATTACAAGATAAAATGGATTAAAAAAGTGTATTGGATAGTGTGTAAAAATGAAAGTGGACAAATACTCTGGGACGGAGGTAGTATTACTTTTAAATTCTTATTTTAATATAAATTAGATAAACATAAAACAGTTAAATAGTACTCCCCCCGTTACCCAGTTTTTGTCCACTTTCATTTTTACACACTATCCAATACACTTCTTTATCATTTTATCTTGTAATTTGTATATTAAAAAATTATAGAAAATTATATATTAATAATCTAAATGTTAAGACAAATCAAACAAGATCACACATGACTATATTTAAGCTTACACATTGAGAGAATTTGATGAGTCAAAGTGCTTAGATGAACAGTTCCAAAATTCAAAAGTGTACAAAAACTGGGGGACGGAGGGAGGGACGGAGGGAGTACTTCTTATAAAGTTTAAAATGTGAAAACTATTGAATTTTAAAAACACAAAAATAACTGAACAAAGAAACTAAACCAAATTAAAACTATTGAATTTGAAAAACACAAAAATAATTGAAAATTAAAAATTAAAACAAGGAAAAGAAGCAACAAGAAAAAAGAACAAAGAAAGCTTGAGAGAAGGATACAAGAACAAAGAAAGCAAAGAGAGAAACAGAAGGGATCCCCGCCTTTAACCTTCTCACATGGGGGTGGAGGACTTATGGCGGGTTTGGGATGGGGTTCAGGGGCGGGGTAGGGTGAGGGGTTTAGAGGACGAGTTAGGGGGGTAGGAACCATTAATTTTATGAACGGAGCATCGGCAGTGCCCCAAAATGATAGTGGCACCAGAGTGTCACCGTACTCTAGTGTCACTAGAACCCCACCGTATTTTGAAAACTAATAAATCTTAGAATTTTTAGCATTTAATAGACCCTAAATAAATAAATCAACTTTGGGTGTATTTATCGATGGTTCTAACAGTTTTTTATTGTTAGTTGGTCGATGGGCAAATGTTCTTAGTATTGTTGGGTTCTACGCTTGGATAGGGAAGCGAAAAACAAAAATTTTGGTGTCCAAACGTAGATCCACCCAGGACCTCTTATGATTATTATAAGTTATTGTTTAGAAATAAACCTTTCTTGGCAAGCAAGCAACGATATGTGTTGGTTGATGGATTGATCCAAGAGCTAGCCACAAAAGTATATGACCTCCAGTTGAGACACACGAACAACGAAGAGTGTTTTAGAGAAAATTATGCTAGTAATTTTTCTCTAGAATATTCCTAAAATATAAAATATTTGGTGTAAAGTATTAAGAGAACAAAACAAATTTTTCTCTCTTAAAATTATGGTAAGGCCGAAATTCTTGTAGTCTAAAAGGGGTGGGATGATCTCCTATTTATAAGGAGCATAATCCTCATTCATATTCCTAATAGGAATGTACCTTTTAGAGTTTAGGAAGGAAATCAAATCTCATTCCAATTTATTTTGTCAACTTTAATTATCATATAATTAACAAAAATAAATAATATAACATTTATTATATATATAATATATACGAAACATATATATATATATTATATATATATATATATGCCGAACACACACACATATATACATATATATTTATGCATATATACACACACACACACACACACATACTTTATTATTATTAAATATATTTGACAAACTTAATTATCACATAATTAAAATGTCCAAATATAAATATTTATTTATATATGTGTTTGTGTATCTAATCATATTGTCACACAATATAATATACACAATAAAGTGCAACTTTACTCCACTTAAATATTCTACACTTTCATATGTTCTATGTGTGTGACCCTATTCTAGGTATCTATAAAATTGGCCATATTATCGATTAAAATACTACAAGTGATAAGCAGTATCTAGCAACACATTATCACCCCCAAATTATATATTAAAGCTCTTGGAACAATTCCTTCAATGACACATCCTATTTGTATAACCCTTATCCCTTTATCACTAATATCTTGATTTAACACAAGGTATGGGGTGTGTCACCTCGTTAAAGTTAAATCGATGGTTTACTGATTCTTTGATCGACTTGTGGGATTCAAATAACATATTTATTTGGGCATGGCCATGCACTTCCCAAGTCACATCAACTAGTGGGCCCGAAGACATTATACTTCATTAAAGAAGGGATAAATTCTGTCTACGTCATTCACATCTTCGCTTAAGTTTCATTGCATACCCAAAACATAACTGTACATCCATCAATATTTCAGATGGCATAAATCATGCCTCAAAGTATACAACTCAACTTACCAAAGACTGTAACAACTTCAAGTCAAAGGATAGTTATACTAATGGTCGCATGAGAATAATATTAACACTTTAACTCAAACCCATATATTATTCTCATAGCGGGTCAATCCAGCAACATATCCAATATGGTTGCCTACGTATAGATTCAGATAACACTTTATCTATAGCCTATGAGATGCAGTTATCTCATTTCATACGTATTAGTCTTGATATATTATGATGTCCGTATTGTCATAATATTCGACTAAGGATATTTTAGACGTAGCATCTATCTTTGTAACAGTCTCATAATTAGAACGTCGTAGTTCTCATCTATGTTACTAGAGCGCCTACTCTATGGACTAAAGCTATGTTTAAATTACACGAGACAAATTAAACAATCTTTAGGGCCTATTGTTCTTGATATAATATATATATGGAATCATAAGTTGGCCTCTAGGGCTCACTTATATTCAACAAGGCAAACAATTTGATATATTATACTCCCTCCGTCCCAAAAAGAATTTCCTACTTTGATTAACGTGCAAAATCCCATGGATTTTAAAATGATTTTATTTGCAAATTGGTAAGAAAATAACACATAAAAAATTATATTTTAAAACTACATCGAAAACTCTACAAAATAAGAGGTGATAAGAATATTTTATTTTATCAAATGATCAATGAAAACACGCAAACAAATAAGAGTTATCGAAAGACCGTAATAGTAAACAGGAAAGACTTTTTGGGACGGAGGGAGTATGTTATTGTTAGTTGGTCGATGGGCAAATGTTCTTAGTAAGGCAAACAATTTGATATATTATATGTCAAAAATGATGAACGGATGAACCGATTTTCAAAGTTGCTCTGGTAAATGGAAGACATGGTTGTAAATTTGGCTAAGTCGCTAAGTCTCGTTTCCCTGGCCCTCTCAAGTTCGGGGAACTCAAGCTCTTGTAAATTTCAGATCGGAGCCCAAGCTTTGTTAAGTTGAGTCTAGTCCCCGGGCACTTTCTCTTATTAGCTCGAAGTCCGAGGACCATGGTCTGAGCTTGGCCTCAACTCTCAGTTGTATTCTCAACTCTGGAAATAACCTTGAAACTGTGCCTTACCCCAGGCACACGCTTTACCCCAATCACGTGCTTGGCCCTTATACCATGCTCAGCCTCGACCTCATGCTCGGACTAGACCAAATCTCTTATTTAGTTTCACGTTGAGTTCAAATCAATCCATTTATCTAGAGTGAACGGGTAATTAAACTCCAACCTAGCGGATGAGATTTGTTTAGAAACATTGTAAGTGTAGATATATGGAATTACTTTCTTACATTTAATCAAATTTCGTGTTTGAACTTTGTACTTGATATCGAATCGATGGTTAGGTGATTCTTGTTGTTCTTGAAACAACAATGTGTTAGAATATAAATAACTGTTCCTGGGCCACAACCACAAGCTTGAGCTTTTGGTTGAATTGGTTTTTTGACATGGTATCGGAGCCTCGTTGACTAAGAGGTCACGAGTTCGAAACTCAGCGTCACCCAGTTTAAAAAAATTAAGATTTCACGTGCAAGGCTTGAAAAAGACTACGCCTGCACGTGAGGGGGCGTATTAGAATATAAATAACTATTCCTGGGCCACAACCACAAGCTTGAGCTTTTGGTTGAATTGGTTCTTTGACACAATCGAACAAAAATTAGTTTATACTCCCTCCGTCCCTGAAAATATGTAAAATTTGCATTAAATAGGACTAAAACATAATGACTCTTCTAATGTAGGACTTAAACTTTTTTATTTCCTAAATATGACTTAATAATGACCATCTGGAAGGAATAATGTACAGTAATAATGAACATTTAGTTGAATAATGACTACTTGATAATGACCAAAGGTCCTACATTGGGAAATAAAAACATATGGTCCTATATTGAGAAAGTCATTATGTTTTAGTTTTATTTAGATAAATTACTCAATATATTTCTCCTTTCTTTTTTCATCCGTCCCAAAAAACACTTCTCATTTCTATTAAAAAGTCACTTTTATCTCTTACTTTTTCATACCCTGCCTATCAGATCATACCTTTTTACTAATAATCTATCCATCAAATCATATTTTTACCCATCACATCAAAGGACATTTTTGGAAATTTAATACCAAAATACACTCCCCTTAAATCTCTTTTCAAAATCAAAACTCTCATGTTTTTCGGGATGGAGGGAGTAGTATATTGTTTGCTAACATCAAAACACAAGATTTACCAAAGCAGGACTAACAATAATAAAAGTAATAATATATACTCCGGGGGTCCTAAAATTAATTTCCCAGTTTAATTTTTGCAGTTAAATTTTTTAAACTTTAACCGTATATTACAGAAAAATACATTGGATTTTCATAGAAATTTATTATCAATAAATTCATTT